AAACCTTGCGAAAAGTAAAAAGAAAAGAAATTCTGTTTTGCGCTTCGATTTTTCAGGTTTGAGTTTCTCGTAAATCGCTTTTACAGCTTCTTATTTAACTTGAAAGGGAAAAAGTAGGAGAATGAAGAGAGAAACAAAAACAACAGAGAAAAACAAGAAGGAAGAAGACTTAAAAAAGATTACAATTAAAAAGAAAAAACAAACATTTTCGCGACAGCAGGACTTGACCTCTTGCGTTTAAACTGAGAGGAAACAGACAAAATGAAAAAAAAAAAAAAATGAAAAAGATGGGACGATTCCCCCGAGACATTACCTTTAGCTACCCTCTTAGACCATCGTGCTATGAAGTCACTTATTGATATCTAACACCTAATCGAGATAGTTTATTCGGTTCTATGCTAATATATGACTCATCAAATTCCCAATGGTGAAGATAGCCAGTAAGCGCAACTGAATTACAAGATGCAGTACTTGTTCGAGCAGCGAGGGGAGGGGTCGATGAATGAGAAAGGCGAAAAGCGAAAGGTTGAGGCCGCAGTGCTGTTTGGTAAACGTTAATCTACAGGGTGGAATGTGACGGTTTTTACACCCACGATTCCTTATCAAATCATTGCTCGCAGCGATTAGGAGAAAGGACCGTACACACAATCGGTCCGGTGTCACAGGGATTTGTGTTCCCCCGAGTTTTGTGTTTCCCCGAACACTGGGCACTAGTGTTATGTGTTTCCCCTCCCCTCCCCATCCAATTATCATTTACAAATGGGGGACCCCCTACCTTTTAAATTCGCGCGGGAATTTCCATGCACGACTTCGTGACCTTTTAAGCTTATAGCTGAGTGGCAGTGCCGGCGTATAGGAGCTGTAGCATTATCGGGAAACACTAAATGGATTGTTGTGCATCTTGCTTCTTTATTTATCATTTACTAATGGATAAATATTAACTATCGACAAACGTACATAGATTCAATCGCAAGGAACATTCCGGCGATGGTAAATATATAGAGCGAATTTCGTATGAGTGGGACACCGTTACCGCACGGTTACTGCACAGTTACCGGACCTGGCCTGCACAATTTTGGTGAACCAATGGGGCACTAGAATTTGGTTACAGTACGATTACGGTCACAGTACAGTACCGTCCGTTTCCCACTCATACGAAATCCGCTCTAGTTCAAGGAGTTAGTGTGCTTCCTCGTTACGAAATGAGTCAAAGGTAAAGAAATCTTTCTACATACTCGAATAACGACTAAAGATAATCTAATATAAGTAAATAACAGTTAGTTTCTTTGCAGAAACTAGTCGGTTACTGTTGTTGTTTGTGACATGGGCGGGACTCACACGTAAAATTGCAATAAAATACCGGAAAGAAGTCCCAAATCTATTATGAACTTTTCCAATCGAGGATGGTCCTTTACAACAGGAAATTATTAAACTTTGGAACATACTCTTACGTACGACGCGCTCGACTCGACTAGAAGCGGAAGTGTCGGGGGATTTCGAGTTCGAGGAGTACCGAACGGACCGAGGTGCTGCCGAAGTGTCACCGAAGCGTTGCTTCCTGGAAGCCCAATCATCCTCAAAATCACTAGGTTATCGCGTGATATCAATTCGAATGAGTGCCGCATGAGTGCAGAAGGTGGGTATAAAGCTTATTTCTATACTTTTACCTTTTTTCCTTACATTTAAAAATGTTATAACTGCTCATAGCAATTGGCCAAAGCTTGATACGATACCAATATATAAAAATTCTTCTAGCGGTCGC